GGGGGCCGGGGCCCCCCACCGAGAGATGCTGGGGCTCGACGTCTCGCGTAGGGCTGTAATGGAGCAGCTTTGCCACAAGAGAGAGCTTCAGCCACGCTCAAAACTCCCAAACCACCCCAAAGCCCGGCAAGAATCCTGGGGGGTAGGGGCGAGGGACCCCGTCGTGTCCCTGTCCCTGCAGCTCCTCGGTGCCATTCGCTCCGTCCCCATCCCGCTGAGCCCCACGGGGGCCAGGACCGGCATTTTAGGATGCTGGGGTGCTCCCTGGTTTGTGGATGTTTTGGTGCTTGGATAGGGGCAGTGGGGGCAGGGGGCTGCGTGCCCCCCCCCCCCTTGGCAACAGTTTCCAGCTCTGCCCCCAAGTCACACGGGAGGTGCTTTTGGGCGGTCGGTCACCCACCCTGTGTCGGCTCCGGGGACATGACACTGTGTGCCCTGTGCTGGCCATGGGTGCTGGAGCCCCTCAGTCCATGCCAGGGACACCCCATCCATGCAGGGGGCCCCCAGTTGGGCGATCATCCGGAGGGGCTCGACCCCCTGGCTGAGAAGGGACTCGGGCACAGCTTGTCTGGGTCCGGCATTCCCGGGGCAGAGAGGGGGAATTGATGGGGCTGGTGGCTCCCGTTCGGCCAAGTGTAGCACCCTGGTGTGGCACCCTGGTGTGGCACCTCGACCCGGCACCCTGACCCAGCACCCCAGTCCAGCACCGGCACCGCCTGACTGATGGTTCAAATTAAAAGGGAGTGAACCATGGGGGAAGACAAATGCCCGATGTGGCAGTGGGGATGGAAGTGAGAATTGGGGGAAATTCAAGCCCATAAATCTCACGTTCCCGTGCCCACGACGAGGATCCCTGCCTCGGCCGGGGCTGTCCCGGGGGGTCCCTGGCATGGCACAGCGAAAGGCTCCGGTTCACCCCCGCTCCCCCTTCCTGCCCGGCCACCTGCAGGGTGCCAGGAGAGGCTTCGCAGGCTCAGTCCCTGGGTCCCCCCCCCACTGGAGGGGTGCAGAAGGACTTTTTCCATACGGAGAGAGCCGGGGGGAGCGGAGCAGCCCCCACAAGCACCCCTACGGGGCTGGGGGCAGCTGCCCTGTGGCAGGAGGGGTTCCGATGGGGGTCCCTGGTGCCCGTGCACACGTGGCCCCCGTGGACCCCCAAGGACCGTGTGCGAGCTCACGCGAGCGTGGGGAGCGTTGCGGCGGGGGGGG